TAAGGTGGAAGTATCTAATGGAAAGAGTCGTAATAAAAGTTGAACAATATTTAAATAAAAAACGTAATAATCAAGATATTTATCCAAACAATACTAACATTATTGCAGATATCTATGAAAATAGTACAGGTACAAAAGAGCATAGTTATGAAGATACAGTAAGACTGATGAATCATCTAAAACAGTTTTTAATTCAAGATATAGAACAAGCAATAGACAAAAGATTATACGAGATTTTTCTTGCGTCTCGCAAGAAAAACTAATTTATTCCTCGCTATAACTGGCTACACTTTTTTCTTCACGATTAAAAATTATTTGACATTATAATACCTCTTGATTAGAAATTGTAAATTAAGAAAAGATGCGGGGAGTGCTACCTGATTTTTATAGAAAATTCAAATATAGAGTGCAGTGTACTGACTATTAAAATTAAGCGCATTATATATGTACTAACATAAGCTGCACCATACCTTTAATTGAGTATAAATTAACCAAAAACCCGAAGGGTTGAAGATAGATTTTTTGAGCTCTAGAAATACCCTCTTCTTTTAGATTAATAATGCCGCATAAATTTGTCAAGTAACTTTATAACCGTAGTACACTTTACGATGTCAGCATTGGTAGAAAAAAGTAGTATTTTATAGTGGAAGTAGCTATAACTAAGGAATATAACTCTTGAGCAGCTTGATTTGTGATGGTAATTTTGTTGTCAACATCTCCTAAAATATATTCACGTTTTGCATGCAAAGAAAGTACAGCAGTTTATTTATTTTTAATAAAATGTTATTAATTTTAATTATATATCCTAGTTCAGGAGGTATTATGCTTTATGGAGACTGAAAAATACTAAACATCGCTCAATTAAAAGCTGCAGCATTAATGCTATACTATTCAATAGTGTTGCTCAATTAAGAGTTACCCTAGAAGATAACTTGATCTATCAAATAAAAGAGCATTAGCATCAAGCAATCGAGATACATATGAAGAATGGAACGCATGTGGTTTTAATGTTAATTGTATGTTTCTACTAAATGTAGGTTATGAGTGCGTATCATTGCCTATTGCTGCTTGTTCTAACCCAGGGGACATAGCAAGCGTCCTCTTAAAAAAGGTTTAGAAATTGACGCTAGTGATGATTATGGAAAAACTCCTTTGTATCTGACTATTATAATGATCATATAGATATAGTATATATTTTACTACAAGAAAAGGCAAATGTTAATGCTATAAGTCACGATGCCACAATGCCCTTACATTGGGCTGTTGGAATGGTTATATAGTAAATACCTTATTAGCAAGAGGGGCAAAGCTTAGTGCTATAGGTCAAGATGGAGCAGTTCCCTTACATCTGGCTGCTAAAAATGCAGTAAATACTTTGTTGAGAAAAGGTGCGAATCCTTTATTTAAGGTTGTTCACAAACCATTAATCAAGTATATTTCCCTTTTAGTACAGCCCTACTTATGGCCAAATATATTAAATATTCAGTAGATGTTATAAGTAAATCACATTCTTTCGATAGCTTCCTATCCCTATTGATCCAATCAAAAGTCTTCTACAAGCCCCCCCCTTGGGCTGCACTTTAAATGTCCTGGGTCTCGTTGGGCTAATAATTCCGGTGGAGTGTCTTGATGCACCCAAAAATCTTCACAGATACCTCTTACAATTTCAATTTTTATTCCATATTCTTTTAAATCTTTTCCTTGATATCCCATGTCAGCGAATATTTTTCTAATTTTATTATATTTTTTTCTTCATGTTATCTAATGCTATTTTTATACTATCTCTGTCGCTCTCATTGGCAGCTCCGACATAGCAAACAAGCACAAATGCTGTGATTATATGCCTCTTTCCACCATTGACTTTCTTGCCTATATCATAACCCTTGCTTTTTTTCTGTCGTTTTATAAATTGGATATCCACTATACAAGCACTTAGTTCCTCTTTCCCTCCCGTTTTGGACCTGTTATACTTAGAGATATCGTAATTCATTTTACGAAAATCCCCTGCTTCTTCCATCTCCTAAATTGCTCATATGCTTTCTTTAATGGCGGAAAGTCGTTCGGCAAATAGCGCCATTGCGCCTATAAGTAATACATAAAATCTCCTAATACTTCTCTTTTGCTATGTTTTAGCGGCCTCCTACTTCTTATGGTACACTCTAAAGGTGTTTCTCTATTAACAACTCTATTTCTCCAGATCCATTGGATACTTTTTTCTCATCTGTAAATCCTTGTTGTATCTCATACACCACCCCTTTTCTTGCTTGCGGACAACTTCTGAGANTACTTAGAGATATCGTAATTCATTTTACGAAAATCCCCTGCTTCTTCCATCTCCTAAATTGCTCATATGCTTTCTTTAATGGCGGAAAGTCGTTCGGCAAATAGCGCCATTGCGCCTATAAGTAATACATAAAATCTCCTAATACTTCTCTTTTGCTATGTTTTAGCGGCCTCCTACTTCTTATGGTACACTCTAAAGGTGTTTCTCTATTAACAACTCTATTTCTCCAGATCCATTGGATACTTTTTTCTCATCTGTAAATCCTTGTTGTATCTCATACACCACCCCTTTTCTTGCTTGCGGACAACTTCTGAGAAGAATTTTAGTCAACTTAGATTGCCCTACATGTTTATATATTAGAGGGTGATAATGACAAATAGCAAAGAAAAGCAAGTAGATTTATTATTAAACCATCTTGGTGCTAACTTTAATCAAGTTAATAATAGTGTCTTATTTAAAATAATAGAGAAGCTTTTAGATGATTTGCGTAGTAGAAGTAGCACAGTGATCATGAACATGTAAGTTTGATAGGAATGGAGGTGGCATGGTAATGTATGCTGGACAGATAATGTAACAGAAGGGTTGATTGGCGATAATAGACCTCTTTTAAAATTCACACCATCAACTCAAAATTGTAAATTCCAGGAATTAAATTGAACCTCAAGCTGAAGCGTTTTCGTCTATTCCGATAGCGATCTGCGACGATTTTGAATCTTTTAACAAACCTATCACAGTTTCAACTGCAACCTCTTGGTTGCAAGCTCTTGATTTCTTTCTTGTCTAATGGCTTCTTTTTCGTATTTCATGTGGCAATTTCCAGCAGAACTTGCTTTTACACCCACTCTTTGCTTTTTAGGCCCATCTTCTTTATCTAATATTTCTACCATCTTCTTGAAAGTTGCCTTTTACACTCCTATTAGATGCTGGTATTTTCGTCGTCTAATTTCTTAATTTCTTTGTATCTCATGCTTTTAATTTTACGACTTTATACTAATTTTGCTCTTTTTGAAAGAGGTCTAATTGCTTTGTTTGAGAGTGCTTCGTACAATTTGTTACTTCTTTTTGCCACTTCTACAATTATTGTGTAGTGATAGTATATTTCATCCTCATTTAAGGAATCATTATCAAGTATAATATGGGTACGCCAAAACAACAGAAGTAATTTCCCTCTGCACCATGCTATTCAAAATTTATGGAATTTTACAAGAAAATAATAGGTATATATTTTTGTCTTGAACTTTCTATTGAGAATTTGATCTTTTGTACTTTTTAGTATTTGCTATAAGGGCCATAAATGCAGAAACTTATAATCTGGATGTGAATTTTAAAAGAGGTCTACTTTTACTTTATTCAAATTTAATGAACTGATATAAAATCTTTTTCTATTGTTCCAGCTCGTAATTTACAGCCCCTCCCC